TGTGAGATGTTCCTGCTTATTGTCAGGGGCTTGAACTAGATGACCTTTAGAGATCCCTTCCAACCCAAGACATTCTATGACTATGATCTGCAGCATTACACGTTACACTGCATTTACTGAGGGTGGACTCAATCCCCACATCCCAGCTGTCAGTGAAGATGTTGAAAAGGACTGGGGCCAGTACTGAACCCTGGGGGACACCACTGGTCACCAGCCACCAGCTGGTTGCAGCTCCATTCACCATCACTCTCTAGGCCTGGTCATCCAACGTTTTTAACCCAGCAAAAGGTGCACCTGTCCAAGCCGTGGATTGCTAGCTTCTCCAGGAGGATGCTGTGGGAGAATGTGTCTAAGGCCTTGCTGATGTTGAGGTAGACCACATCCACAGCCTTCCACTCATCCACTAGGCAGGTCACTCAGTCTTAGAAGGAGATGGGGTTGGTCAGACAGGACCTTCCTTTCCTAAACCCATGTTGGCAGGATCTGATCCCCTGGTTGTCTTCTATGTGCCGCTTGATGGCGCTCAGAATGATCTGTTCCATAATGTTGCCAGGCACTGAGGTCAGGCTGATAAGCAGAGCTGCACAGGAAGCTGGGGGCAGGGACTGTTTATTACCATTTAACCCAGTCAAGGTTCTGCAAAAGGAAGTGGACACCGAAAAAAATGTCAACATAGTCAGCTGGTTCACAACAGAAATCACTTGATTCTCTCCAAACATAGCACTATGTAGACAGTCTTCTCTGTGGTGTAACATTTTGCTAGGGTTTTGTTTGCCATGTGCTACAGACAACCAGTTTTAGAGCAGAACTGCTCACATGCGTTTTACTGTAGACCAGGGCAACCACAATCACAGTGGGGAGCAGTGGAAAGCTGTAACCTAGATTAGACTTCCTGCCAAAACTAGGTCAAACAATTTAACCCAATACTTTCTAGATCACGTTCTTCCACATCTCAGAAAAACATTTCAGCTGCCTACATGCAGGCAGCCAGTGCTGTTTGAAGTCGCCCAGGACATTCAAAACAGTCACCAACCAGGGTTAACAGGTATGTTGCAGGTCCCAAGATACCCTCCGTTATCCCATACAACACTGAACACCTAAATCACTCCGTTTAAAGCCCTGTATGTTCTTTGATCTATACATAGTAACTAATGTTTGAAAAACTGTAACCCCGTATCATAGAGTTGTAGAACCATTCAGGTTAGAAAAGTCCCTTGGGATCACCAAGTCTAACTATCATCCCTACTCCACAACATTCTCCACAAAATCATATCCACCAACACCATATCCAAATGACCCTTAAAACACATCCAGTGATGGTGACTCAACCACCTCCCTGGGCAGCCTATTCCAGTGTCTGACCAGTCTGTGAAAAAAAATTTCCTAATGTCCAATCCAAACCTCCCCTGTTGCAGCTTGAAGCCATTCCCTCTTGTTCTGTCACTGATTAACTGTGACAAGAGACCAGCACCAACCTCTCTACAATGACCTTTCAGGTAGTTGTAGAGACTGATGAGGGCTCCCCTCAGCCTCCTCTTTCTCAAACTAAACATTCCCAGCTCCTTCAAACATTCTCCAGTAAGATTTATTCTCTAGGCCCTTCGCCAGCTTTGTTGCCCTCCCCTGTACTCACTCCAGCACCTCGATATCTCTCTTGAATTGAGTTGCCCAAAACTGGACACAATACTCCAGGTGTGGCCTCACCAGTGCTGAGTACAAGGGGACAATCACCTCTCTACTTCTGCTGGTCACACTATTTCTAATACAAGCGAGGATGCCATTGGCTTTCTTGGCCACCTGGGCACACTGCTGGCTCATATTCAGCCACTTGTCAGTCAGAACCCCCAGGTCCTTTTCTGCCAGACACTTTCCAGCCACACTTCCCCAGGCCTGGAGCATTGCCTGGGGTTGTTGTGGCCCAAGTGTGTGACCCGCCCTTGGCCTTGTTGAAGCCCAGACCATCAACATCTAATCTACCCAAGTCTCTCAGTAGATCCTCCCTATCCTCATGCAGATCAACACTCCCACCCAGCTTGGTGTCATCTGCAAACTTACTGATGATACGCTGGTTGTAAAGAAAAATGCATTGCTTAAAAAGTCTGCTTCCTACTAGGTTTTTCCCTACTCTCTTCCCTGATCCAAAACAGGTTCTACATACCTGCATTTCTCCAGCCCTTGGGTGAGCCCGATCTCTTCAGCTCCCCCTGCAGACTCATCTTCATCTGTAGAAAGTACACTTCGTTCTAGTAGTACTGATTCCAATTCTGAACATCAAATTTCAAATAATGTTCTTTTTTCCTTAAAGACCTTTCATATTTTTTGACAACTTTTAAAGTTGCTACACAAAAGAGCCTCTAGGAACATTTCAAAGTCAGAAAAGCAAAATTATGTTAATCAAAGCTGTTTAAAACTACAGGCTGGTTTTGAAACATGTATAATTTTAACATCAAAACTAAAGGAAAGATAACGTACCTGCAGTGACCCTACAGCAGCCTTCCAGTGCCTAAAGGGGGCCTGTAGGAAAGCTGGGGAGGGGCTTTTCACCAGAGAAAGTAGTGATAGGACAAGGGGTAATGGTTTTACACTGAAAGAGGAGAGATTTAGGTTACACATCAGAAAGAAATTCTTCACCACGAGGTGAAGGTGCTGGAATGGGTTGCCCAGGGAGGTTGTCAATGCCCCCTCCCTGGAGGTGTTTAAGGCCAGGTTGAATGAGGCTTTGTGCAGCCTGATCTAGTGTGAAGTTTGGAACCTGATGGTCTGCAAGGTCACTTCCAACTTTAACTATTCTATGATTCTAATAGTTGGACAAAAGAATTCAAAACAATTAGAGCAAGCAAATCTACAGTTAAGAATCCTAGGTATGCAAGGAATGTATAGCAAATCATTAAAACAACTGTGGTGCCAGGTAATGCACATTAAACAGTGTTGCAAAAATTATGGAAGAATGGATGAAACCAAACCTTGGTATTGCTGAATTCATATGTTTAAATACAAACCAGTTCAGATTCTTACACCCCTTCCCTAGCTCCCCAGACAGCAAAGCTAGACTTCTTCAAAATTAGTGTCTCCAGTATTATTTTGACTCCAGCCCAGGAAGCACAGCTAGCAGATACAGGACAGACACAGATGGTAGCCAGAATGTATTCAACTATTCTTTTGCACGACTGTCCTCACTAAATTTAGTGATCAGTACTACTGACAGAAATATCCTGAATCTGCTAACAAGTCGAGCTCAATCCCTTAATTAAGAAATACAAGTACATGTTTTGGCCCTTTTTAGGTAGCCAAAACTAAGTAAACTGCCATGGCTGTAAATATACTAGAAATATGACATACTGTTAACTCCACACAGTCTACATTCCAAACTCAGTGGACAGATATCCCAAGATGGCATGTGATTGTAGTAGGAAACCTAGAGGTTTCTTTTACAGACTTCAGACTTTATTAAATTACAACTCATATGTGCAATAGGAAGGATTTATACAAATGCCAAACATACAGCATCTGTAAGCATGAACTGAAATTAATTTGCTAGTGACAAACACTTCCTCACTTAAGCCTTGCTCTAAACAGTGGGCAACCATCACACAGCATAAGTCACTACAGTGAGTCAGAAGTTACATAGCCCTAACAAGTTCTTTTTAACACTTTACTACTTTCACACATATGGGGTACCCTCTTTTTAGAAGAGGTAACACATGTATGGGTACAGCCACATATCAAGTGATGAAAGCCAGTTACATGCATACAACTTGAAAACACCAGCATCCTAAAGCTTCAAGAAATGGTATTTTCACCCCACACTACAAAGCATAAAACACTAAAGTACTGTAAAAAACATCTTCTTGCTGGCAGGCCTGAAGAGTAAGAGGGCCACACCTGAGCATTAAAGTATGACTGGAGAAACCTGAATTGGCCATCACAGCCAGGGAAACTGACACCACCACTGTAGGACCAGGGTTAAGTAAGAGCCAGCCAGTAAAGAATTAGGAGTCCCTAGACTACCAGTTTATGAAAGACCCAAGACTTCAGAGGGGGCTGGAAGATCCTACTATTTAATTACACCATCATTATAAAGTTCCAGAGAAACATGGGGTTTAGCATTTTACTCTCTAGCATAAAGTCTATATTGCTATGTAGCCACCCCTTGCCTCACCTCTAAGGCCTTAAGTACCATTGCTAGCCAGGATTTCTATCCATTGAAAAATCAAGATAGAAGTAGTACTGTAACTTTCCTGTTCAAAAATGGACAAAAGACACACAGAGTTAATTTTTTTCATACTTTAGCAGGTAAACAAACAACCCCAAACTTTTGTCAGGAAAAGAGAGCATTCTGTGAAGACAGAACAGTGCAGTTTACAGAGGAAAGCCAAAATGGGAACACAGTAAACAAGCACTCATTTGAGAAGCAGAAATACTTTAATTCAGTCCTCATATAAACTATTATTAATACACATTACACAAGTAACTACACATGAAAAAAAAATTTTTAAAATCCTGCTTGTTCCAGCAAGTTAGCCTATTTCTCTTCAAGTCTACAAAAAAGCTAAAACAGAACCAAAACAGTGAAGTTAATTAATATTAATTAATATAATTATTAATAAACAGCAAACTTCAACCCTAATGTATTTCCTTGCATTCATATAGAAGAAACTCGAGAAATGAGTTATGCCAAGCTTCATTTTAGGAACTCAATCAGAATTTTATTATTTTATTATTCAAATTATTATTATTACTTTATTATTCAAAGTGACATCAGGGCATAATAGTGAGAGAGCATTCCTTACTCAGAAAGGAAAGCTACAGAAACCTCACCTTAGTATTGAGCTAGTCTTATGAACAGAAATAGTCTTTGGCAAGGAAGACTGAGTATACTTATAATGATGATACAGTTTAGTATTACACAATGGCGTTAGGATGTTGATTAATCATCTTCTGTATCAGTTTTCCATTCTTAAGACACTGCTGGCCTAAGTTTCAGGAGCTGGAGGATGACAGGAACAGACATTTTGCAAGCTTCCCTCCTTAGGAAAGAAATGTTCGAACTGTGCCCTTTATGGTCCCCCTGCAAATAGGGCATTTCCTAAGGGATGGTGCACATTCTTTGCATACCACTAAGTGACCACATGGAATAAAAACAATAGAAACTTCTTTGTCCATGCAAACTTTACATGTTCTTTCCTCTTGCAATCTTCTTAATTGTTCTTCCATAGGTAAACCTAGAAAAAAACATTTAACATTTAAGAAGCCTGAATATATGTGAATTCTAACTAGAAAACAGCCAAGTTTCACTTCATCCTTTATTTCCCCATTCACTAAATAGAGATGGCAGTGAGAAAAGAAATACATTTTTCAGAGCTCAGAAAGTGGCATGCAAGGAGCTAGTCTGTACTTTCCACCTGTGAGACAACAAATAGCTCAGGAATTTAAGGCCAACTGTAGTTTTCAAGACCAAGCAACGTTTACATTTTAGCAAGTGCTATACTCTCCTTGCTTGGATATTAGAAGCACGGAGCACAGCCTGACCAGTGGAAGTCAGCTATATACACACTTGTATACTTTTCTGCAGTCTATTAAACTTATTAAACTACGAGACTAAGAATCAAGCAAACTCAATCCCATGTCTGACAAGTTTTTACCTACTCAGCTGTTGGCCAAGCTAGGTCTTAGGACACTTATAACCGTCTCTGGAAAAGCAGAGATGATGATACCTGCTATGAAATGGTAACCTACTGTTCACTGTAGTCTTTACCAAATGCCTGAATGAGAACTAGTATCAGGATTAAGTCCAGTACATGCTTGAATTGTCAAGCTTCAGAAAGCTCTACCTTTTAGGTGCAACAGCATGTGTAAGGCACAGGATACAGCTTTTAGCAGATTGACTTGCTTGCACTTAACTTTTTTGGGTAAATCCATCTTAGCAAAGCAAAATTAGCGAGACAGTAAAGCATAAAACCTATTTCTTAATAAAAGGAATGTGCTTTTTTATTATGTTAACTGTTTGTCCCACAATACCCTTTAAAGTAAGAAGGTAGAACTCAAGTTACCTGAAACATCTTCTGTAGGAACATACTTTATGTTCTTCTCCACTAAAATTAGAGAAAAAATACTAGTCATTTGACTCTATATTCAAAAAGCATGACTTTTTTTATCTTTATGTTGCTACAACAGCACTGGCTAGACTTGTAAAAACTTAGCTTTTAAACAAAAATCCATTTAATAAAACAGGCATACCAAATAAATCTTTGTACAGTACAGGGTCAGAATCTCGTAGACAGCTTCTGAATATGCTGGCTGCTTCATTTCCTTTCACTAAAACTGTATCTATCAATTCCCTTGCTTGCAGTGGTGTCTGAGTCTTTTGCTTAATAACATCATGCTCGAGTTCTGTTATCACTTTAGCTGACAGTAGACTCCCAAGGATTGGAAGTACACATGTTAAACGCTGGAATAAAGCCATGCGATTCTTCCGGATTAAGGACAAATCATCTGGAATACAGAGAGGATTAGATGTTTGTTAGGAAAACACTACTTCAAGTTACACTTCTGCTTAACAGTAATTGATACATTCTTCAAACTCTACTGAAATACTCACTTACTACATGTAATTAATAAAGACCTCAGTAAGTTTTATTGGTATTCACATAAAGAACATAAAGACTTTAAAACTACATACAAGCAGCTTCTGAGCTGAAGCTTTTTCACCAATGAAACTTCCTGCTCCCACTTCTAAAGTTATCTGAGGGCATGTTGTCCAAATCACACTAGCAAATGTTCTCTGCAGAACTGGAAAGAAAAAACCATGTCTCTGCATAATACCAGTGCTAACTCACTGACAACCAACAGATTGACTTTAGTCAGTGGTATTCAAAATAATTTCTGAGATGTGGATAGAATCAAGCATTTCTTAGAGATGACCAATAGAATTATGTTCAAGAAAACCAGAAGTACAGCACAACCAGACCTGAGAGATTTTTTAAATGGTCTATCACAAACAAAAAAATAATTTCCATTAAGATTTAAAGGCTGAACCCATCTATGCTTTTTGATAGGACACAGAAGTGGAAAAGATGCACTTAATTCAATTTCTAATTTAGAAGTTTCATTACTGCTTCACAGACTCAAAAATTGCAGGCTTTTTAAAAAAAAATGGTACAGTATTAGAACAATAGGAAGAGTTAAAGACACATCAAATTAAATAGCTGACCTGGCTGTTAAATGGCCGAGTCTGACACAGAAAAGCAGATCCTTGGCCATCTTACAGAATCTAAACGTGTAAAAGTTTACAGCCTCTTCTAGGAGGTGGATATGGTGGCTCATTGTCTCAAGTAGCATAAAGAGCAGGCAAATTAGTAGAAAGTGCCAAGTATTTTGGTTCCATTTTTTATTATCAGCAATATAGGCACACAAGTTTAAAAAATATGGCTTTGTTCCCATGGAGACAAGGTGATTCTCAAATCTTGGCACCAGTATGAACCACCCTCCTGAAAGGGAATGAAGCAATTCCCAGACTGTTAGCTCCACACGGATACCCTGACAATACCTTTGCAGAAACTGACCCAAATAGCAATTAAACTAAACCACTTAGTGAATAAAAATTATAAAAACTATGTATAATATAAAACACTTCTTTCACTTTTATTCATGCCTTATGTATACCTGATGCCACTTCTTCAGATTGTCTCTCTTTCTCCTCTTCCCTCTTCTCATCTTCAGCAGTGAGTAGATCAGACACAAGATCATTTACAGTCTTGTAGTTTTCTCCAGTGGCCAAGATTTTACTTTGCACTGTTTGCTTTATTAGCCTTCTACTGAATCCCATCTCCAAGGCAGCTTTTACCACAGGTGTGTTCATCATGATTGAATCTTCTGAGTGACTCTCTCCAGGTTCAAAATGAATAACTAATCAAAGAGGAAAATCACCATATGTAATAGAAAGATACCCATACAACCCAGAAGCCAAACACAACAACATTACCTACATACATGCATATATACATGAATACCTACCATTAAAAAGTTTCAATGGTTAAACAGCCTACTTTTTCAGATAGTTTAAAGAAATGGAAGCCGGTTACTTAGATTCAATTGGACTGAATCCACGACAAACTTCAACCCATGTTAGGCTTTCACTAATCTAGGATAATCCAGAGAAGCCACAGAGAATTCCATTGTGTTTTAGCAGCTTTTTTTATACTTAGTCATTTCTAGTTTCAGCCTTGAAAAATGCCTTGGGGGTGGAGGGGAAGGAACAAAAATTCAAGAGTTTATAGTACAAACAATTGCTTTATTCCAGCTCTTGATCAGTGTTTTCCATTCAACTAACTAAACACAAGAAACATGGGATTCTGACTCATTGTCCTCTATCAGGAAGGACTTTGATAGCATAACTCACTCACTCTCTGGGAGGAGTTTATTTCCACTCTAACTGCTGACCAGCTCAGACTTCACTTTATCAGCTTCTACCCTCTTCCTGACCACTGCTGCTCAGATCAGAACATTCACCTAGGCATGTGCCTAAAAATGGAGTTGCATTACTGCATAGTCATGACACCCTGTAGCAAATGTTCCACTGTACCACAGATCAATTTAACAAATGTCAAATTGACTTGTGTTGTTTAACCCAATCATGAAACCAAAACCCAAAAAAACCCAGCAGATACCAAGCATTTAAAAGAAAAAATTTAAATATGAGCTGCTCATGTGAAAACTAGGAAAATAAAAGACAAGATCTCTTAAAGGTGCATTCCTGAAGACTGGCCACATTAACATCAAAGCTACCTAACATTTATCACTAGATAGACTATCCTTATAACATTATTGTTTACCAAAAAAAAAAATAAATCAGGAATCGTTAAGCAAGTTAGCTTTGGATAGCTAATCATTAAGTTTGCAAAATGCTGAGGAAGTTTAAAAATAAGCTTTAATATACATACTTGGGGGATCAATGTTTTCATCTACAGTCGTATCAGAGGTTGACAAGAGCTGTGGAACACAACAGAACTACATTAGTATCGAAGTATTGCTTTTCCCCAAAAACACCTTTCTAACACATTCTTCCCACATTGCTCACGCTAAGCTTTTTACCTCAGTGGTACCCATTAAGTATTTTACAATTTACACAAGTTTTCAAAGTTATGCAACCACATAATCAATATAAAGTTAGTGCTGACCACTTCCATGAATATAAATGTGCCTTATACTTGCCAGAAGGCTTATGCATATCAATAATTCAGACTGCCCATGACTGATTTCTGAAATAATAATTACTGATAACTTCCTTCTCCTGACAAAGGAGCTCACTGCCCCGTAGTACTTTCCGTAAATAATCTATACAGGTTAAGCTCTACTAGTTTAACAGGTTAAACTCTACTAGTCCAAGTTCACCAGCCATGATTCAGCACTGCTTTCATTCTTGTGCTCATGAAGAGCATTTATGTTAGAAACCTAGCAGAAATATATGCAGAAATGAGGCAGCAGGATGGACCAAACTCCCAAAAAGATCACAGCACTTTTCAGCAAGGGAAAATGAAAGTTTACAGTATAGAACAGTAAAATTTACCTGTTCAAGAAGAAGGGGGAACCTAGCCTGAATTTGACTTACAAACTCTCCTCCTTTCACACGAAGCAGATATGCACACCTGAAACATTGACAGAAATGGACCAAATTATACTTTCTACTTGCCAAAGGAAAAAACTTCAGAAAAGTAAAACAGTAACACAGCATAACTTGAATTTATGCTTCTCTTCCCTTAGAAGGGAGAGTTCTCTTAATTGGAAGCTTGATACAGCCCACTGACACATTCATAAAGCTTTCCCATGATGTTCAGCAGTCAGTAGTCCTAGGCAGAAAAATGCAGCACCTTTACATTCTGCTGCCACTTCTAATCACAATAGCACACCACAAGAAATGATACTGTGTCAGCATCACTATAAAGTGCAGTGATAAACTGTTTCTATCTCACATCTCACCATTCTTATCTCCTACTCAAATAATTCAAAAGAAGTTAGCAAAATTTAACACCACCACCAAAGCCAGATCTGCCTCACTCTCCAAGAGGTATATCCCTTAAGTACACTTACTGGCAGGCATAACACAGAAGGAAACAAAGGTGTTAACTCCAAATACATTGTGTAGTCCAGCAGAACCTGGTAAACTGCCCATGAAAGTTGGAGATCTATGACATGAAGAATTATTAAGTGGACCTATTTCTGTCATTAATGTAGGTGGAGATTTCAACAGGCACAGACAGTAATTAGGTATGTAAATGCCATTTAATTATGGGGGACATTTTAAAAGGTTATTTATGTCTGCCATTTTTCCAATAGAGACATACTCAACTGCTGAAACCTTCTTTGCAGGCCTTTCTTTCCACACCTAAGAAGCTAAACCAAACCTGCTGAAAAACTGGTTCAACAATGTTTGGCACAGAACTTGTCCAGAGGTGTTAGGTGTTCCATCTACTGCATTTCTCAGCAGCTTTTGCTCTCCTCAGTCTACTTTCTGGCTACTTGTCTTAGAAAAGTATGTTCATTCATAATGCAGCCTCACTTGCTAATAGTGATTTGGTGATACACACAGCTTTCCATTATGAAGTGGAAAGCATTAAATACTATGCTTAATAAGAAATATTTTAGTTAAGAGTAGTATAAATCTGCCAAAATTAAGTGTTTAAGCAATAAGGATATGACCAAATTATAATAAAGATTTTGCAAGTTACCTTGGGAACCACTTTGCATGTTCAATCCATGGATCATCTCCAGATTCCCAGCACCGTAACCCACCATCACAGCAAAAACACTTGACATCATCGTTGCGGCCTTCAAAGAAAAGATGGCCAATATGTAGCAAAGACTCACACAATTTACTTTAGAGTAAACGTTGTCACAGCCATACGAACGGAACTTCTTACCTACATAGTAGAAGCCAGCATCTGCAAGCTGTTCAGGCTGAACTGGAATTCTAGTTGGCCAATTAATGAATGTTTTAACACGTGCTTCATGGGTTTGCATGCTCACATTTGAAACATTGAAACTTAACTGGTCACGGGTAAGGTTTTCCACAAAAGGGCAGTTTGGAAAGTGTCTCCGATGCTCTGAGATAGCATTATCTTTTGGTTCCCAGTCACTCAGCTGACCACCACACGCGAAACAAGCAACTTTGTCTGCTGTCCCCAAGTAATAAAGTCCAGCCTTTGCCAGATCAGTGGGCGAGAGAAATGTCAGTGGCCATGAGTGGAAAGTTCGTAGTCTAGCATCTTCTGTACTCATAGAAGGATTGTGCAGTTTAGGTCTCAAGAATGTAAGGTCTTCCACTGCCCTATTATTTACTGGGTCTTGAGGAAAACTGGAAAAAGAGCCACTGAAATATCCAACTTGTTCTAAACTTGGAGATGTTATGGAATGTAGAGATGGTGAGAAGCTGTTTGCAACCAGAGGTGAAAAGGCAGAATGAGAGGACAGTCCGATGTTGTTAGCAGAAAGCATGTTTTGAACAAAACTGCAGCTAGGATACAGCTGCTTATGTTTCTCCATAGGATTATCTCCTGGTTGCCAACTGTCCAATGTCAAGCCACAGCTGAAGCACTTCACTTTATCTTGCACACCAGTGTAATAAAACCCCGCCCGGGCAAGACTCCGTTCTGACACTGGCACATTAATGGGGAAAGCAGAAAATGTTGATATTCTGTAGAGTTCACAGGACAAGTCATACTTCAGTTCACCACACAGAGCACTCTGCTTCATGATGCTAGCCAACAAAGGGCTGTTTTCCATTATGTTCATAATGGACTATTTTTGGAAGAATGGGACAAAGTCTTCCTCTGGGAGGTAGTTGTGTGCATTAAAGGCAATTCCGAATCACCCCTGCCTGTACAAAAGGACCTGAAAATGAAATACTGTATTGTGCAACTTCGAATGCAGATGTGTACAGGGTCAGTCACATGACTGACAGCCTTTGAATACTTGAGAAATTAATGTACTTTAGATTACACAACTGCTTTCCATGCAAAAGCTGCTTCATCCCGTTTTGACAGTTGAAGAAAGCACACTATAGAGGATGTTCCCTTGAATCATACAGGCATTACTTGCTTTCCTTGTACTGTACATCTGGGAGAGCAGTACCAATTTGTCAGGCTACTGGAGATGGGATCCAGAGGGGAAAACCTCATATGGGTTTATCAAAATCCTTTGTTAATAAAGAAACTAAAATGAGGGGCCACTAAAATGATTTCATTTTTAAGGAGAACATGTTAAGTGTTTTAAGAACTGTTTCACCCTAGACAGCTGATAAATATGCAGCTTATACATAAAGTTTTTTATTTGTAAACCTCATTAGCAGGCTAAAAATAATCGCTTATTGAGCTCAAAGCATACAAAGAAAGAGCTCCTGAACTGACATCACTGACCTGATCTGGTATACTCACTACTACTACTAGACTTCCAAAAAACCCTCAACTTCTGCAAATTGTTGTAATAATTGCCAAGACTAAAGAAGTCAGTTTATACTGAACTTCACATATACTGAATATTCAGCTATGAGAGAAACAAATCCTATACGCTGTTTCTGACAAGGATAAGCTGCCCTTTACAAGCCTGGAATAGCCCTAGGCTTTTCTGTCTACAATGTCAGCACAGACTGAACACAGCATTTCAGTTTTACCCTGGTGCCTTAATTAAAAGTATAGAGCTATCAAATTGAACATAAATTAATTGCCTTGTGTGAGGACATTCTAGTGGTTTATACTGCTGAATTAAGTTTTTTGCATATGCCATGTTTATTGCATAGAGAAGTAAAGAGAAACCTCAAATTTAAAAAAAAAAAATTGATAAATTTGAAGCCTTAGTTTCTTTATTTGTGCACAGAACTACCTCCCAGAGTTCAGACTAAAGTCCCTTCTAAGGTGCCTACGCCTCCATACTGATAATGGCTGCTCGCAAGAAGAAAATGTAAGTATCTATAATTCCAGTCATTTAATTATTTTGGGAGAAAGAAGTCCTGTAAAGAAAAAAAGAAGAGTGTTGCAAAATATACAAAATGAGGTGCATGCAATGTCTATATAAACAGAAACTACATTATTTGAAACACTAAAACCTCAACCCTAGCTTTTCTATAAAGCTAGCTAGAAAGTTTCAGGGTGTGAACTTTATACACAGTCACATAAGGTGGATTTCACACACCTTATTTCCCTGTTACTGACATATATGCAAAACTGTTTAATTCACAAGCAGAACTTTTTTGGTAGGAGGATGAACCAGGCCACATGGTCTCAAGCTGTATGACTGAATGAAATATGTTGTATTAAAGAAGTTGCATCCATTTAAATTGGTTTAAGCCTGCAGATTTTCAAATAACGCTGATTCAGTTTTACTGCACTGACTTAAATTAAGAGTACTGGAACTTCTTATTTAGGTAAATCCAGTGATACTTAGGGCATTGGACATCAGAACAACTGAACGTCACCAAAAATTTCAATTAAGAGCAAAGACAAAGTTCAGAAGTTTTTAAATGCATAATTTTATATTTATAGATACATATACAGCAGTATGTTTTACAGTATCAGTTCCTAAAAAGTTATTCCAGAAAAGATTCAAAACAGATACACCTGTCATGATGACATAACCCTGGAAAAAAAATCACCCCCTGGAAAACAGCACAGCACTTCCTACTCAATAGCTCTTAGCAGACTTCTTTTTAATACGGCCACACTGTTATTACAACTTCTTAATCAGTAAGGACATGAGTTACAACTGCCTTACACCAATCCACTCCTTTAACACACATGGTAGAACTAACCTAGCAACATGAATGTTGCTAGTCACAGAAGGTAAGCAAGCCAGCGTCCAAGCAAGAAAGTCACAAACCTCAAATTAAATGCTAGAAACACCAGAGCAAACCGACACCGTGATAATCCCAAAACGTTTAGGGACACTTGAACCTGAGATCTGCGGTCAATTTCTGCTCGGTACTTTTTTTCTAATATTATCCTCCACAAAAGCCCTGAGTATCCTTAATTTCCAGTCACTCAACTGCTCCGAATCTGGCAGGTTTTTTCTTCCACTATCCTGCAGCGACACCAAAAAGTTACTTAAGCCCGCAGTAGCGACAATTCAAGTACGGCAACCTCAAAACTCAAGTTAATATCATTCTGCTTTTGTGTTACTAACCAGGCAAAACAAGTTTACCTCCTAAGCGCCCTTCGCCAAACGTACAGACCTTGAGCAGCAAGATGGGCCCGGCAGGGACGTCCCGGTGGCCCCTTCCGCGGTCTCTCCCCAGCACGGCAGGGCCTCGCTGCCCGCCCGGCCGCCCTCACGCTGCCGCCCAGCCCGCGGCTCCTGGGGCTTCTCTCCAGCGCCAGGGACCCGTGCCCGGGCAGAGCAGGCCCCTCAGCCCGCCCCGGGTCTCCTCTGTCGCCGGCCGA